CAGTATGCCCACCCTTTTTTACCAAAAATTTTGGTCTATTGTCGGTAAAGATGTCACACAAATTTCCTTGATCGTCTAAATGGTAGAGCTAATATTGGGGATATTAATAATTATGACGTTGTGCTTATCCCCAAAGTAAAAAAACCTGAAATAGTGAATCAGTTTAGACCTATAAGCCTCTGCAATATTTTATACAAAATTGTGACAAAAGTATTAGTCAGTAGGCTAAAAGAAATCCTCCCTTGGTACATTAGTGAAACCCAGAGTGTCTTTGTACCCAATCGCCTTATTTCTGATAATATGAGTGTTGCTTATGAGATGCTACATACCCTAAAAAAGAAAAAGAGGAATAGGGATAGTTTTTTTTTCCCTTAAATTGGACATGAGTAAAGCTTACGACCGGTTGGAGTGGAACTTTTTAGAGAAACTCATGGGTAGAATAAGATTTCATGAGAGATGGACTGAGCTAATCATGAAATGTGTTACATCTGTTTCATATTCTTTAGTGATAAATGGTGGTATGACTGACAGTTTCAAACCAGAAATATTACTTCGTAAAGGGGACCCTCTTTCCCCCTATCTTTTTTTGTTTTGCACTGAAGGTCTCTCAGCCCTCCTTTCAAAGGCGTAGGAGGAAAGTTTGATACATGGGTTACAAGCAAGCAGAAATGGTCCGAGAGTTACCCACTTATTTTTCACTGATGACAATCTGCTATTTGTAAAAGCAAATAGGAATGAAAATGAAAAGGTGAAGAGCGTGCTACAGAGATACGAAGACAGCTCCGGACAGTGTATCAACTTTGACAAATCGGCCATATTTTTCAGCAGAAACGTATCTGAGAATTGAAAGGTTGAAATAAAGGAGATCCTCAATATTGAAGTTACCACTCGCCCGGAAAAATTTCTAGGCCTGCTGTCATTGGTAGGGAGAAACCGAAGGTAGGCATTCAGAGAGCTCAAAGATAGAGTTTGGCAAAATGATTGGCTGGAGCAATAGATTTCTCTCCTAAGGAGGCAAGGAGATTTTCCAGAAAGCAATAATCCAAGCAGTGCCAACATACATTATGAGTTGTTTCTTACTACCACAACGACCTGAATGGTATGATAAGCAGGTTCTGGTGGCAACAAAACAAAGATAAGAAAGGGATTCACTGGATCAGCTGGGAAAGCATGTGCACACCAAAAAATGAGGGAGGAATGGGCTTTCGGGAAATGGAGAAGTTCAATATTGCGCTACTTGCAAAACAAGGGTGGAGATTATTGTGCAATACCAACACGTTGGCATACAGTGCTTTGAGGGCAAAGTACTTTCCACGCAATTCTGTTTTAGAATGTGATATGGGGAAAAATCCTTCTCTAGTCTGGAAGAGTATTTGGACTTCACTTGTTATTATCAGGCAAAGGCGCATGTTGGAGAATAGGGAATGGGCACTCAGTCAGAGTCTGGAAGGACAAATGGTTGGCAGGCGCTCCAAATTTCATGGCTCAGTCAAACGGGGAAAGAGGAGATGATGACTTGCTGGTTAAAGAACTAATCGATGAGCGAACCAAGAAATGGAAAATGCAAGTGATCGAGGAGCTGTTTTCTGAAGAGGAAGCTTTAGCCATAAGTCTGATATCGATTAGCAAAGTGGGGATGAAAGACAAACTAGTATGGCATTATGAGGTCTTTATATGGTGAAAAGTGGCTATAGGTACCTATGCCAGAGGAATCATAATAGGGTTTTGCAGGCAGAAGAAGTAAACGAGAAATGCTGGAGGAAAATATGGGATGCTGCAATACCGAACAAGATTAAAGTTTTTTTTTTATGAAAAACATGTAGAGGATGCTTACCAGTCTATCAAAAACTATAGAGCAGACAAATACCAGTCACTGACATTTGTTTTAGGTATGGGCAAGGAACAAAATCTATGCAGCATGCGTTGAAGGATTGTGTAGTAGCAGCTGAAGGATGGAAAAAACTGAATCACGAATGTAATGTGGAAGACACAATCACCGACACAGATGAGGAATGGGCTCAGCAAATGGTCCAGGATGCAGACGAGGAACAAATACAGTGGTTAGCCATAACATTTTGGGCTATAAGGTCTGATAGAAACAAAGAGCTGCGTGGAGACGGTAGAAGACAACCCAATCAAGTGGCAGACTTTATTAGGCAGTACAGGCGTGAGTTCATTGAGGCACAAATTGGAACAAATGGCTCACCAACGTGCATGGACACCTCCTGAACATGGTTTTCACAAAGTGAATTTCGAAGGGGCATTGAAACAAAAAGAGTATGAGGGTGGAATAGGGATTGTTATTCGAGATGCAGAAGGAAGATTTGTTGGTGCTTGTGCTGGAAAAGTTGACAGAGTAAATGATTCATTTGTGATAGAAGCACATGCAGCAGTAAAGGCAATCGAATTCGCAGCAAATCTGGGGCTCCAGAAAATAATGCTGGAGAGGGATTCACTAAGTATCATAAAGAGACTGAAAATAAGTGATGAAGACCTTTCAATGATAGGACCCATCGCGGTAGGAGCAAGAATGATGGCTAGACAATTCTCCCACTGCGTTTTCGTCCATGCAAGCCGAGAGTGTAACGTAGCAGCACAAAAGTTCGCAAAACTTGGATGTGAGACCAGAGAAGACAGAATTTGGTTTGATGAACCACCTGAGGTTCTTTGTAATATCGATTCTATGATGTTATATCGTTTTTAAAATGCAATGAAATGATATTTCCTTAAAAAAAAAAAAGTGTTTTATAGAACAGAGTGCTTAATTTCTGAGGTAAATTTTTGGTTAATTATATATAACCTTTTTCTCCCATTTTCCCACACCCGAAGCTAGCTGACGCCTGACAGTACTCGATATTTAAATTTTCATAAACTGGAGTAGTATATATTTTGCAAGTAACAAAATATTTGACAAAGAGGTAACTAATATATTCTATTTTTATTTGTTTATTAAAATCGAACATAATAAAATTTTTTATATTCAATTTATTTATAAAAATTAATAGAATATTCGATAAACAATTCGTGAATATATTCGATTTTTATTTATTTATATTCGTTTATTAGATTTAACAAATGATTACGAACGATATTTTATAATTTATTAATTAAATAAATAGATCATAAATATAATAAAATTCATTAATATTCTATCCATAGATTCGATAATTAAATGAATATATTATTATTTTTTCGGTTCATATACACCCTGTTAATAAGGCTAGAGCAACTGAATAACCACTGGTTTAGACATTTTAGCCCAAAGCAGGCCGGGCAAGTAACTAAGCTAAGCAGAGTGCCATTAAAGTATAACAAATAGCGGTGTTTAAAAATAAAAAAAAAACACCCTTAAAAGTATATACTTTTCGATTATAAACAAATTCATGCATTATATTTTTTTTTTTGCATGTTATTTTTTTCAACATCTAAATTTCTATATTTTTGCCTTAGTTAAGTTGTCGCTATTTTTCAATTTTAACGACGTTTAAACCTAAAGCGTTGCTCTTACTTTTGGAATACAAACGTTTGCGCCATTTTTAATGATACAGCTTGAAAAAAGTATCATGAAAAGTCCATTTTTATGTAGTAGGAATATTAAGGATTTTTTTTTTTTTAAGATTTTAGTCTTGTTAAGACTTAAAAGGCTTAAAAAAAAAAAGGGATTTAAAGACCTACGAAGGTTGGTATACATGATTGATTCTTGCGAAGAAATTTTTGGAATGATCTCTTATATTGGAAAGTATCAAAACAGATCACCATAAGAATCAATTTTAAAAGCATTTATATTAAGACAACCAATATTACCAATTAAACCAATTTGTTATTAGTAATTAATTTGAGTTTGTTATATATACTTGTACATATTAATTTAGGCATCAGATTGAAAGAAAGAGAAAAAAAAAAGAAAAATGAAACAAAAGCAATAAAATTTCTTATTTAATTGATTTTTTTTGGGATAAGTTATATTTTGTTTATTCAAAAGAAGCAGGAAACTGCTACGATACAAAAACCTTAATACAATCTTCTACATCAGCTGTAGCTGTACTGCTACTTATTAATAATCAAATCTTCTATACTATCTGTTATGAAGTATACCTATGATAATTAATTGGTTTTTTGGGTAGAATTAAAAGATATTTTTAGTTAAAAAACTCCATTTCAACTTAGATGTTAAGATCCCAAAGTTATAAATGTAAAATCAGTCTAATTAGGTTTGTTTATATATATATATATATGTATATGTATATATTCAAAAAGCATGAGAAAATGAAACAAATTAAGCAAAACGTTCAAAGTTGTATTTGATTAATGAATCTTAATTACAAAGAAAACTTAAAGAAAATGACAACCACAAAAATTAATTAACTAAAATTTTAATTGTACTAAATTAATTTTAGATAATCAAATAGAAATAAATAAATATATTTGTATATATTCATTTTTCTTATATTTCTTCAAATTTCACTCGTTCAAAATGTTTTGTGAACTACCAATAGTAAAGCCACATTTATTTTAGAGCTATCTCAAAAGCACAGCACCCCTTCTTTTCTTTGAATGATAATTATCAAAGAAAGGTAATGCGAAGTTTGTTACCAATTAGATCATTCCAAAATACAAAATAATTTAGCTGTGATCATTCCAAAATAATTTAGCACTACTGATCACAGCTTCATGAAGTACATACAACTAATAATTTCAGTTATATTGGACCAATATTATTCAGTTCTAAGACAACATCTATAGATTATAGAATAATGGAAGACTATTTCACTCCAGACTATAACTATAATGTCAAATGGCAACAACTAGCTAATAACCATTATATTAAGCAAAACAAGAATAAACATCAAGGGTTTCACGCAAATTTAGTAGATAAAACTAGAGGTTTGATGGAAATTAAAAACAAGCATCACTAGCTAGATTTAAAAATGTAAAACGCAAATCCTAGTTGAAACCCTGAAATTAGTTTTTAACAAGCTGCATAACCAGATTGAGTTAATCTAAGTTCCTGAAGTCTCACCATCTAGAGGCACATAAGGTTCATTTAGATCAAAATCTAGCATCTTGAGGGAACAAACCTGACTGCCTTCAGCTGCCTGATTAACCGTTTTCAGGAATTGTGTTTTGGAATATGGGTGTTTGCCCTCTACCGGTGGTGCTGTTTCATTCAATGGAGCTTCTAACAGTCCTCCACTAGGGTTTTTAGGGTAAAAACAAGGCGTTTGTCTACTTGGGAAGATCTTGCCTCTATATCTACCTTCCATGGTCGATGGATCACCCTCTTCTTCACCAGTCTTCATTGGGGACTTCTGAAATTGATCAAACCAACGGTTGTTTTCGATGATTTTAGCATCTGTATAATTCGCCTTCATCTTATTTTCCCTTACTATCGTTTTCCTATCCACAATCTTATCGCAATCGAGCTCTTTTGCTAATGACTTCCCCATCTTGTTTTCTTCAGCAGGTTTGTATGAATCTCCCCGTTTACATTCCGAAGGCACTCTCCTTTGATCCGACTGAGTTTTCAACTTAGCCTTTCCTTTCTCCTCACCGATTTCTTTACCTAGAGCATTATTGCTTCGTTTTTTCTCCTCTGAAGCTTTATTTGCCAAGCCCCAAGATCTAGTTTTATCTATCGTCAGCTTATCTGTTGCTGAACATTTTCTTTGGTATCCAACACTTGACTGACCCAAATCAAAAGAATCTCCTTGAGCTAGCATCATAAGGCAATATGCAGCCTGAGGTATCTCATTCTCATCAGAGGTGAATTTCCCGTATCGCTTGGCGGTGTTGGTCCATTTTGGAAGAGACTTTAACAGATCAGAACCTGTCACAGATCTTTTTTCTTTTGCACAACTAATCTGATCAACTTCCAGAGCTTCATCGTTTTCGGATACACTCGAACAACAGCTGTTTTTGTCAGAAGGAGGTGGCCTGATCCCTCTCCAACTCCTCTCAGGATGGTTCTTCATGTGCCCAAACAAAGATTTCATGGACCTGAAATCCTTTTTACAAATGCAGCAACTGACTTTCTCATTACCTTCCTGATCATTCAAGGGCAGATCAGCACCGTCCGTAGCTTTTGGCGAAACCATCTTTGATATCCGTTGCTTAGCCTTTGCACGATGAATAGTTCTTGGCTGAAGCTTGGAAATCTTTCTATGAAGACCATTTTTGCTAACCTTCATGTGGATCCTTATATGACCTCCCAATGCCTTCCCTGAGGTAAACACTTTGCTGCAAACGGGGCAGATATGCTGGCCACAACGTTTCAAGGTCTTTGAGATCTCGAGCTTGAGAAGGAGTTTGTTTGGTAAGTCTGATATTTCAATCGGAACAGACTCTTTTTCCATGTTGTTTGTCACTTGATCAGCAGCTTGATCGTCCATCAAACAGAAAGCAAAGCAAAACCAAACAAAAAACAAAGAATTGTTTTTGTTTTTTTTTTGCAAAGGGAAAACGAAAAGACTGCTATAAAGAAAAGGGAATGGATGAGATTGCGATTTTAGGAAACCGCAGGAATTATGAAGGCATGTAAATGGACAAACAGCAAGGCACAAAGAGATTTTAGGTCAAAGAAAGAGGAAGAGAAATAGAAATAGTGGGAAAAAAATGAAAAAAAAAAAATTAAAGACCTTTGTTTTAAGATTTTGGATAGACACACCAAATTGCGAAAATTTCTCAAAAATATTTTGTGTAATAATGACGGTCTTAATTGAATTTCGGATTCGTAACAGATTTCCACAACCATGTTAAATATTTAATCGGAAGGATTTCGGGTCATTTTTTTCATTCATTTTCCATATATATATATATATATATATATAAACCATTTCATAATTGCCAAATTAATAAAAACACCAAAATAACTATACATACAGTATCATAATTTAGTAGATGTTAGAGTTTTAAGACTTCATTTAAAAATATTGAGTCTGAATCTTGATAAATAAAATAAAAATTACAATATTAGTGAAGATTATTTCTCTTGTTATGTAGTTCAATATTTATTATAAAAATAATACATTCTATATGTTTTTTTTTCTCTTTTTTTTTTTAAAGCCATTGAATGATGAGTTATACAAAATTTTTCCCTGTAAACTTTGATTTAACAACTTCAAATTGGAGATTCATTATCTAACTCTTAAGAATATTATTAGAGTCATTTAATGGTCAAAAGGGTATAGTAGTTTTTTTCCTCTCTTAAAGCTGTCAATAGATAATCAAAAGTATTTTTATCATTTGTGTCAATCTGACTTGACATGATCAGTGTCATCTCAAGCACCATAAAGGTAGGTTTATCCCATTCATTTTTTTTTCTCCTTCCTACTTTCTTGCTGACTTGATCTTTACTGACTTGTGCGTTGGAATGCAACACAAGGAACACCCTTTGTCTTTGCCTTTAACCATCATTCTCTTTTGCATTCACAAGAACACCCTTAGGTTGGAGCTCGACACCAATATTTGATGCTCCAGGTAAAGGGTCTCGTATTAGCCAAGTACAAAACAATGTCACTAAGAAAAAGAATTGTAAAGGAATGAGAGGCAGCCACCCCAGCTAGAACAAAAACTCACCTTAGCTAACCTTTTGTTCGCCCAGCTCAACCATAGAGGGACCAACCATAGAAGAATTTCAACCCTGATAGAACAAATACAATCTCTCAAGCAAATGCTACAAGCTATAACCCTACCACAAGTTTCAAAAATGCCAGACTTAATCACACCTGATAGAGAAGCCACTGTCAGACAACTGAGTTATAAAGAGGCCAAAGCCTTCTCGACCTCTAGAGAAGAAGAACACACAAACCAACTCATCATCACTCCAGCCATAATTCCACAAATATTCCAAAACCCAAAAATTCAAACAAATAGAAGATAAATTTCAATCGAACAGAGATTTGAAAGCTCGGATGCAAGCCAGAAAAAAGAGCTAAAAATGAAAGCAATGGCATTTGAGGATGAGCTCAAGTTCCTAGAGCCTTCACCCTTTACTGAAGAAATTGAAAAAGTCATGCCTCCTAAAAGATTTAAAATGCCAATCTGAAGACATATGATGGTACTTCTGACCCCTTTGATAATTTGAAATTTTATAAAACTAACATGATGATGAAGAGGGCAGACAAGGCTCTAATGTGTAAAGGTCTAGCCATTACATTAAAAGGCACAGCTTAATCCTGGCACAACAGCTTGGAATCGACGTTAATCACTACATTCAAGAAGCTCAGTCACTCGTTCCTGTCCAGATTTGTGAGCAACCGAAGAGCAAAGAAAATGGCCCTAAGCTTGATGTCAATTCACCAAGGGCAGAATGAAACTTTGAAAAACTATGTCATGTATTTTAACACGGAAGCTCTACATGTTAAATACTTGGAATAGATGGCCATTGTTGCCACACAGCAAGTGGACTCAATGATAAGAAATACCATTTAAAGCTGACATTATCGTTAGAACTGCTTAAAACCCCGGCCGACATCCTACTAATTGTAGAGAAATACATTAATGCTGAAGTTACAATGAAAACTTATCGAGGTGAGAAAGGCTCATCCCCTTCCTCGAGGACCTAGGTAAGAGAGATTCATCATCTCTTCTTAATCGTAAAAAAAATAAGAATTTATACGATCCTCTCCCAAGAAGGTGACAACATAAGGCTATAAGTCCCAATGGAGAAAGAAGTTACATTGCACTAAATACCTCCAATGAGAGAATTTTGATAAAAATTGAAAGAAATTTTGACCTCAAATGGCTTAAGTCACTAAGACAGAACACAATAAGAGACCTAACAAAAAAAGTACCTTTCATAGAGACATCGACCATAATATTAAAAATTGTATCAACCTAAAAAATGAGATTGAAGTTCTAATAAAATGAGGTTAGTTGAAAAGATTTGTTAAACAAAAAAGATAAGATTAACTAAGAATGGACTACAAACAAAATCATAAAGCGCCTACTTGAGGCAGAGAGGAAGAGTAGAGTACAAAAGAAGGGATGCCCCAAAGAGAAGAGACGAATAAAAAAGAGGGTCGAGTTGACAATAGTAGGCCAATTACCAAAGTGATTAACGTGATCACAGGAGGTAGCTTAACCTCGATGAAAAAAAAGTTTAACTCGGACAAAGTAATGACAGTAGGCACGTCGATCAAAAGAAAAAAAATAGAGAGAGGATCTGATCTTATTTAGCTTAAAAGATTTGAAAAGAATTCAACACCCATATGATAATGCTATAGTGATTACAATCTTAGTGTATAACTATATGGTCAAAAGAATCCTATTTGATAATGAGAGTTCGACTAACATCATATACTATAGCTATTTGAAGAAAATGAGGATTGGCGAAGATTAGTTGAAGTCGATCACCACTACATTAGTGGAGTTTGTGCATAAATAGGTGCCCATAAGAGAAACTATCAAGCTTTCGATCTTCTTAAGGATTAAATCGAAGATAATTACCTCGATCGTAGAATTCATGGTAGTAGATGTCCCATTTGCCTATAACATACTATTAGGTTGAGCTAGGTAATCTATTATTTGGCTTATAAGCTCAACTTCCCATTTAAGAGTGAAATTCCTAACACCTGAAAGGGTTAGAGAGGTTCGGGAAGACCAATCATGGTACGACAATGTTACATCACAATAATGAAGGGTAGGACTGGGAAACAAATAGGCAGCTTGGTCGATACCGAGGTTAAAACCAAAGAAGAACCAACATAAAAAATAAAAAAAAAGAGATAAACCACCAACAAAAGCATAAAATGTAAGACCAACCTAGGAAAAACATACTCTTAAGCCGTTCTGAGCTCTGAAAAGGTTTAATTTTGTTCCATTTCTTGAATTTTTTGAGATAACATTAGAAACGATGAGCTCTTAAGTCAATACGAATAATTTGATGTTAGACTGAGTTAACACACTGGCCAAACACAGTATGAAATGAAAAATTTACTTCATTTTTACTAATATATTCAAAAAGTTTTTCAATATACTAATCATCATATCAAGATTTATTTTCACAAAAAATGATCCTAACCTAATTGAACAAAAAGAGATAATTGATCATAAACTATACTCGGATACAAACTAACCGAGCTGACTGAGGACCTCATGGCAATCCTATTTTGGAATAATATTCTTTAAAAATACATGTAGATTAGAGCTAAGCTCCAACATAAAAATCAACTAATTCAACTTACAAATGATAATGCTGGCCTATTCACTTAGACATCATTCAATATGCATGAAATTGATACTGAAGTAATAGTCCACAGACTACATACTAATCTCAAGGTAAAACTAATTCGATAAAAAAAAAAAAAACTTTTACCCCAAAAGACAATAGGCTATTGAGGAAGAAGTTGACAATTTATTGCGAGTTAACTTTATTAAGGAGGTCTATTACCCTGAGTGGATAGCCAATGTGGTCATGGTAAAAAACCACAGCGAAAAATGAAGAATGTGTATAGATTTTACTGACTTGAATAAAGCTTGCCCAAAAGACAGCTTTTCATTCCTTAGTATAGATCAGCTAGTAGATAATAGTGCTAAGCATAGCTTTCTTAGCTTCATGGATGCCTATTCTAGCTATAATCAGCTCAAAATGTTAAAAGAGAATGAGGATAAAACAACCTTTATTTTTTAAAAAGGCATTTACTGTTATATGGTCATGCATTTCAGATTGGTGAACAAGGTGTTTAAAAACTAGATCAGTTGTAATATGAAGGTATATGCAGACGATATAATAGTCAAGAGTAAGAGTTTGATCGAGCATTTGGAGGACCTAAAATAAACCTTTAACATTTTAAAAAAGTATAATATGAAACTTAACCCAAGCAAATGTGCTTTTGAGGTTACATCAGGCAAGTTTCTCAATTACATGATCAACCAAAGGGAATAAAAATGAACTTCGAAAAGGTTCAAACGATCCTAAAAATGAAGGCACCGACCTCGATAAAAAAGTATAGAGGTTAATCGACAGAATAGCCATGCTCAGTCGATTCATGTCTAAATCAACATAGCAATGCCTACCATTCTTTAAAATTCTCAATAATATCTCTAACTTCAGATGGATTTCTTAATGCCAAAAAGCTTTTGATGAACTCAAAGAGTTTTTATCCTCTATGCCTATCCTATCTAAATCGAGGACTGACAAAACACTATACTTATACTTAGCCAACATAAATCAAGCTATCAACTCAATTTTAGTTCGAGAAGAAAAGGAAAAATAATGATCAATCTATTTTGTACGTAAAATATTGACAAAGCTTGAAGTTAATTAAAACGGCATAAAAAATTAGGCTATGCCAATGTCACATCGATTAGGAAACTCAAGTCATACTTTCAAGCTTTCACGATCTACATCCTAATCAATCAGTCACTGAGGTAAGTTTTACAGAAGCTT